TATTAGAGTGTGATCCAGGGACTCCTGGAGGTCCACAAGACCCTTTCAGGGGTCCATGAGATCAAAACTTTTCATTATAACACTAAGACACTTATTTGCCATTTTCAATCTATATGACAAGTGACAGTGTCATTGCTCAATGATTAATATAATATATGCATGTATATTCTTGTTTTGTAGATTCTTCTAAAGTATGGTTTTGGGATTATAAATATGTATATTTTCAAAGATTAACTTAATTTGTTCTCAATGTATCTACTGTGTTCTTAACAAGCTTTTTTCTATTGTACCTGCTATAATCTATGTAACCCCATGACCATCCAATAAGTTATTTTGAAGTGCTAATGTTTTTCTTATGTCTAACATGAAAATAAAAACATTTTGTTGTCTCATTCTACAATAACATTTTAAAATTATTTTGAAGGTTATTGTACTTAAAAGAGTAGGCTATTATATTACATTGGCTAGAAAGGTACACGAGGTAGCTGATAGAGCCTTCTACAGTTGACACTGTTGAGTGACTGCTAGATGAAAACTGAGCAAAGTTAGTAAAAGGAATCACCTCAGTGCCACTTCCCAACAATACAGTAACTTGTTAAATTAAAGATTTAGCTACAAACATGAAGACAAAGTTAGTATTTCAGGATATTACTATCTGGATAAATCTACAGACATAACTTTTTTTCTTGCATCCATCCAACATCAACACCAATTAAGCATTAATAAAGATCTTTTATGTGAGTGGCACTAAAATAACTTGGTGCATTGGCACTAAATACAAATGGTGACACAAAGTGTTAAATAATTGATTTTACTCTCACAGTTTGTACTGGAAAACTATGCTGACATTTGGACTGATGGTACAAAAGCAACAGTGGGTAAAACTGCTGGCAGCTTAGCACAAGTCAAGCCATGAGCATCAAACTGTGCTGGTGATCACTGTCACATGTTTGCAATAAAACAAAAATGTCAGTTTTACTTCATAATTCCCCTAATAAAGTAATGAAAGTTATTTTATTAAATTTTAACTCTTAAGTACACATTTAAAGATAATCTGTATGATTAAATTAGAAATATACATAAAAGACTTCACCTTCCACAGCAAAGTATGATGGTTGTCTTCCACTTGTATGATTGAATTACAAACCGAATTGGTCACTTTTTTCATGGAACAACATTTTTACTTGAAACAATGACTGATAGACGAATTGTGATTACTAAGACTTGGGTTTTTAAAAGACATTTTCTCAAGAAAGAAAGAACAAAGTAAGCCTGACTTCAAGGGAAACAACTGACAGAACCTGTGGCTGATTATAAATTTTGAACTGCTAAATGAAAGTTATGATTTTAGAATATTTGTATCTGTTACCATGAGCTGGTCTGCTTCCCCAAACTTAAAGACTTTTCTAATTAGGTCAGCAGTGATAATAAATGTGCTTTTTAAAATGTATTATAATGAAATGTGTCAACATTTGGAATATCTGCCTAACTCACAACTCAGTAAAACAGTATTTTCCAAATGATCAATGCATGATGCTACAAAATCATGCATGGGTAAAAGATACATTCAAAATGCAAGACTAATAGATTTTAATGCATCAGAGTATGAAAAGCCCATTGAAATGGCTTCATATTCCACATTGCAACAAATCTTTAGGACTATCTCTTGTGGAATTTCAGTGTAGTATCTGAGAACAGCCACGAAAATCTGAAAAAGGCAATTCAAATACTCCTCTAGCTATAGATCTAGCTATACACCTCCATGAGGGCAAATTTTCTTCATATTCTTAAACCAAAACAACATACTGCCACAGAATATAGAAGATGACATGAGAATCCACATATCTTCAGTTGAGCAACAGATACGGACAATTAGGAGACCCATAAGGTAATAACCCAGCCAGGTCACCCTACATAAACCCCCACAAGTTAGGAAATGTCCATGAACAAAACAGTCCAATCAGCTTTCATGCCTCTCTCTTAAACATTAGTGGAGATCCAAGGATCACTGGACATTTAGGAAAATCTTTAATGTGAAAGACAGAAACTAAAATAAAGGAATGGGGAAGGAAGGAAAGACATAAAGGACAAAAATTTTAATTCAGAAACTAAGAAAACTACTGGAGGGGGGGGGAGAGAGAGGGAACACAGAGGGAAGGAAGGAGCAGCGAGAAAAGAACAAAAGAAACTAAATAAACAACTAAAATTTATATCCTCAGAAAAACAAGAAAAGAAGCCATAAAAAAGAAAATTTTGAGGAATAAAAAGGGCTTTTAGAAATTAGAAATATAATAACAGAAATGAAAATGTCAATAGAATATTTAGATGATTAAGGAGATTTATCAGAAAGCGGAAGAAAAAACGAGAGAAAAATATATAAAAATTAGAGTACTGTTTGGGGAATTGTTCTGATATCTGACTAGCAGCAGTTTCAGAAAGAAACAGCACATAAAATAAAAAGAAAAATATACAAGAAAAAATATTCAGAAAAATTTTTCTAAATTAAAGGGTAAGAATTTCACATTGGCAGGGTCTATACCCACTGCGCAGAATAAAGAGAACCACATAAAGGATTGCTTGGGACAAGAAGATCTTAAAAGTATCAAGATAGGAAAAATCAGGGCAAATAAAAGAATTAAAAATTTAAAAGGCACTGGATTTCTCAATAGGAAAGCTAGAACAAAATGGAGCTAAAGCATCAAAATCTGAGGGAAATCTTTATGCATCCAAAATATAAATCACACTCTAATATAAGGTCTCAACATGTTTACCTCTCATTTATCTTTTTTCAGGAATTTCCTAGAAAGAAAAAAGTTCTACCAAATTGAGGGAGTAAACCTCAAAAAAAGGCATGGATCCAACAAATAAGAGAGTCAAAGGAATCCCCAGATGATGGTGAAGGGAGATCCCAGGACAACAGCTGTGCAGGAAGCACAGAGGTCAACCAGTCCAGATGGGACCAGAGGAGGGCCTGCTCCCACAGTCTATCTCCAAGGACAAGAAGAAACTGATGGCTACCTGGGGTGTTTGCACAGAGAGAGATTTACCCCTTTGGTATAGAGTTAGGAAACTAGGCAAATGAGAAAGACAGTTATTTACTCCAGGGAAGGCAAAAAGTTGTGAAGGAAAGAAAATGTAATCATAGCATGCCACATTCTCTGCTGTGAGTCATATTTATTAGTAATATAAATGTAAGCACTGAATTCTGATCTCACCAATACGTTAGAAAATATTGGAGGATGGGCAAAGGTAAGGATGTTTCAGTGTGTGAGGAGTTAGGTAGGCAAGAGAGCTAAATTAGCATCTTCCATAGAAAGAACTTAATAGATAATATTTGAATTGGAGAAAATACCAAGAAACAACAGCATCAGATTGTTATTTAGAAATATGCAAACATGTATCAGAAGTGGCTAAAACTGTGATGACTGCTTCTAGAGAGGGGGGATTGGAGGTGGGAAGGGTGGAGGTGGGTACTAATAGTTTCTATTATAAAGAAATATGCACTACATGCTTATTGCAGAAAAATTGGAAACTACAAAAAAGTAAAAATGAGAATAAAAGATTCTCCATTTTCCATATACTTAAATATTAACACTATGAACCTATTTCTTCGAGTTTATGTGCATTTTATATTATTGAGGTATGACTTGTATATTTTATTTTACTTTATTCACTTGACAAAAGCATTTTCCCATCTATTATGTTTTTCATAAATATTTTCACAGCAACATATTATTTCATAATAAATAAATTATTTATTTAGGTGTAACAATTCAGGCCTGTTCCCTAACATTTTATTATGAAAAATTTCAGACACAATTGAAAGAATTATGTAGTGAAAACCATGCTATATGTCCTCTATAACACATTTTTCAATCTATCTATCCCTCTGACCATTCACTGATCTATTTTATTTGACGAGACATTTCAAAGCAAGCTGCAGACTTTGGATACTTCATCCTAAATACTTCATTAGGCATACCATTAACTAGAGCTCAGTATGTGTTCATGGCTATTTTTCTTAAGTTTTACATACAATGATATGCACTAATATTAAGCATATCATTTGATGAATTTTGACAAATGCATACTCCTGTGTAACCCAAATCCCTCTCAAAATATAGATTACATTATAATCACTCTCGAAAATTTCCTCATGCACCTTTCCCTCTCAGTCCATATCCCTACCCCCTACACCCAGAGGCAGTCAGTATTTTAACTTTAAAATCTATTCTTTCTCACATCACATCACTGTGGCCTCCTCCTTGTTGTTAACTCTCCCTGTTCCTCCTTGTTTCTTCCTCACTCTTCCACTCTTATGACTACTCTTATGATTTGGGTTCGTCTGGAAAAGCCAGGATAACTTCCCTACTCTGGGTCAGCAACCGTAATTCCATCCGCAACCTTAATTCCCCTTTATATATCAGATAATCATCTTTACAAGGCAAAGTTTAGGGTAACGCATCTTTGCCACTATAAGCGTCTTCTTGGAGAGTTGGGGTGGGGGGTGTTCTCTCCTGAAGCTGCTTTGTTCCCTTCAGATTCTTTTTATTTTACTTGCTTCATGTTAGTGAATCTCTTGGCACTAATTAAGACCACTGCCATTAATGTAATGAAGTGTTTCTATTTTCACACAATATATTGAGTAATTAACAATATTTCCTCTCTTAAGGAAATTTATTCCTAAGGAAAAGCTTATGGGGAAACGCTGGCATGTTCAGATTTCCATTACCTGTGCACCGATGACAGACTGATTTAAAAGAGGTCATAATAGTTGAGCTTTCCCAAAAGTGTTAGTATTGCAGTTGTGGGTGTTTTTTTTTTTTAATTGTATTACTATGAGATAGTATGTGTCATAAGAACAGCTTTGGAGTTAGTTTTAACTATTTCTCTTGAAGGATGAAGAATAGCTTATTAAATGTCACCTATAAACTTCATGACAACTAATATCTTTCATTTCACAGCAGCTGATAATAAGAGCAAAAATGGTGAATACCTACTGTTGCCAGGTAACTGCATCCACTGTGCTCCCTGCCACCTTCATGAATCTGTAAGAAAGAAAAAGAAGATATTGCAACCTGAAGTAAACCATATCCACAGGTCAAAATGAAATAAGCTGAGACATACATAGATCAGCCCAATGCCTGGGCAGCTGTGCTTCCTGAGAGGGTCCACAGCCACAAACATGGCCTATCCAACAGGGATTGAAGTTAAACTGTACAGGAGGTAAAGGTAATTATACTTTCAGCTTTCCACACATCCACCACCATCTGGAACTCAAGATCCAATAGGATATTCTATCCATCTCTGTCTTTTCAAGCCCATGCCTAATAGCTCCCACACTGCTTTCCCTATGATCAAAACTCAGCCGTTGAAACAAGATGGCGGCGTAGGTAACAGCTGCACCTGCCGCCTCCCGCAACCACATCAAAATTACAACTAAAATACAGAACCACCATCACTCAGAGCCTCCTGAAATCTGGCTGAACAGAAGCCCACAACCAGGGAACTGAAGGAGCATCGAGAGCGGTAGGAAGGGCAGAGACGCGGGCGGATAGGGGCTGAATCGCAGACGGGGCGGAGGGCCCGCAACCAGTACCGCAGTTGAAACCCAGGGGGGGAATCTCGGCGGTGGGGGTTTCCAGGAGGAGCGAGGGGTCCCAGCCCCACAGCAGGCCCCCAGCCCAGGGCTCCAGGGCCAGGAAGAGACGTCCCCACAACTCCGGGCTGTGAAACCAGCAGGGACTGTGGCTGAGGGTCCCAGAGGGTGCGGGAGCCCTAGCAGCTCCTCTTAAAGGGCCCACGCACGGACTCACTCAGACGCGCTCCCTCTGAGCCCAGCGCCGAGCAGCAGCTGGAAAGGAACCTGGGACACTGGGAGGGGGGGGAACTAACTTGCCTGAAATCTGGGCGAGAGGTGGAGGGGCAGCTTTCACCCAGGCAGAAGAGCTGGCAGAGGCCATTTCTCCTTTGGTGAGTCCTCCCCCCACACAGCCGGCAGGCAGGTGGCATATTTGAATCGCAAGCACTCAACTCACACCTTTGGCCCCGCCCCGTGATTCCTGGAGGCCCCGCCCCTCCCTACTTGTAGGCTCATCCAAGCCATTTCCAGTGGCTTTTCTATGCAAATGGCCTCTCGAGCCTCATGCTTAGGACTTTCCTAAAATCTCTCAAACAAGCAGCAGAGTGCCCCATATGGCTCGATAAGTGGCCCTAGGCCTGGCACTAGTGGCAGCTGCATTGGCTCATTGCTTGGCCCCTCCTGGGCACCTCCAAGCCCAGCACAAGTAGCAGCCATCTACAGATTGCTGTGTAGCTCATGCTGGGTGGCCCTGGGCAAGGCACTGGCACAGGCTGACTTTGCACCTCCCGGGAGGCCCCAGAGACAGTGCACCTGGTGGTCAGACTCGACCACGCTGGATTACAACCCTACCACATCCACGAGTGACACACTCAAGGGGCGCACTTGGTGAACACCAAAGCTCCACTGAAGTAAATCCTGCTCCATAGGGGTGTCTCCAGCACAGCAGCTCTTTGGCTGTAGTTGCAGCTGGTCCTCACAGCTGATTGGCCTGGGGGTCAGTTCCTCCCAGTGACGCCAACAGCAACCAAGGCTCAACTACAACAGGACAGTGCACACAGCCCACACAGGGGAGCACCTAGAAGGCCCAGCTCAGGTGACTGGGGAGGCTGAGCCACTGGACCCTACAGGACACCTACTACACAAAGCCACTCTACAAATTCCAGGAGACATAGCAGCTCTACCTAATACATAGAAACAAACACCTGGAAGCAGCCAAAATGTGGAGGCAAAGAAACATGTCACAAAGGAAAGAACAGAAGAAATCTCTAGAAGAGGAACTAAATGAAATAGATCCAAGCAAGCTAACAGATACAGAGTTCAGAATTTTGTTTATAAGGATGTTTAAGCAGACTATTAGGGAAATAACTGAGAAAATCGATAACATAATAAAGTACCAATTTGAAATGAAGGCTACACGAACTGAAATGAAGAATAATTTACAGGGAATCAACAGTAGAGTAGAGGACGCTGAGAATCAAATCAGCAATTTGGAACATGAGGAAACAAAAAACACCCAACCAGAAGAGCAAAAAGAAAAAAGAATCCAGAAATATGAAGATAGTATAAGGAGCCTCTGGGACAACTTCAAGAGGCCCAACATTTGTATTATTGGGGTGCCAGAAGGGGAAGAAAGAGACCAAGAAATTGAAAACCTATTTGAAAAAATAATGACAGAAAACTTCCCCTACCTGGGGAAAGAAATAGACTTACAAGTCCAGGAAGCACAGAGGGTCCCAAACAAGAGGAACCCAAAGAGGCCCACAGCAAGACACATCATAATTAAAATGCCAAAGGTTAAAGACAAAGAGAGAATCTTAAAAGCAGCAAGAGAAAAGCAGTTAGTTACCTACAAGGGAGCACCCATACGACTGTCAGCTGATTTCTCAACAGAAACTTTGCAGGCCAGAAGGGAGTGGCAAGAAATATTCAAAGTGATGAAAAACATGGAACTACAACCAAGATTGCTCTACCCAGCAAAGCTATCATTTAGAATTGAAGGTCAGATAAAGAGCTTCACAGATAAGAAAAAGCTAAAGGAGTTCATCACCACCAGACCAGCACTACAGGAAATGTTGAAGGGTCTTCTTTAAGAAGAAGCTAATGAACAAAAGAATCTGATGAACTAAATAGATCCAGAGACATTGACGCATGCAACAGACGATCATATTTCAGAGGAAAGAGGGAAGGGGGGTGGAGGGTGGGAAGAGATTAACCAAAGAAGTTATATGCATATATGCATAACCCATGGACACAGACAATAATGGGGTGAAGGCCTGGGGAGGGGGTGGGAGCAAGGTGGAGGGGGTCAATTGGGGGGGGGAATGGGACACCTGTAATACTTTCAACAATAAAGATAAAAAAAAAAACAACTTACTATTTTGTATTCTCTAAGAACTCTGAGATCTGCTAGAAAACAAATATTTACCAAGGATGACAACACAATAGACGCCTCTAAAAAACCTTACACCTCTCCTTTTGAAGAGAGCATAGGAGAACGCAATTTACTTATACAAGTATAAAGCGCTATTGAATACACCCCAATGATGGGCTGTTACAGCTGTTTGAATGCAGAAACCTGAGCACCACATACAGAAATCTAACCATTTCTGGAGCAGCTAAGTAGAGAAGGGAGTGTCATGACAAGCGTGCTCAGCTCAAAAAGGAAACCAGACCTGTTTCCCTGCAAGGCACAGAGCAAAGTATTACTTGCAATTCCCTTCCTCCTGTGCTATTGGAGGTTCCACCAGAACCGAAGGACCGGGAGAAAGCATCTGAGTCCTCACAGATTCTGAGGACATGTGCTGACATGGCTATTGTTGAGAGAATTACCACCCAGACACAGGAAATCAAAAGGGACAATCTCAGTTCTTTAAGACACTCCTTTCAACCCTGAGACCCTGAAGGAGAACTTTTTTTCAGATGGAAACAATCCCCAATCAGCACTTCATAATTAAAGAACTCTTCCACTAGGAAGGGAGATGGTGTTTTGTCAGGAAGGCCCTATCCCTGCCCTACCCCAGCATCATCTTGCCAGGTGTACACATGGGCAAAGGGGTTGCTGTGCGCTGACCAAACAGAAGTTCTGCTTTGCCACGATGGCAGAGGGACAGAGTTTCTGTAGGACTAGAAGAGAGGGAGAAAGAGGGTACCAGGACTGCTGCTTAGCATGAGACTGAAGTTTATAGAAGATGAAGAGGAATGAGAGGAGGGAGACAGGGACTGGGACGGGGAGAGGGTGGAGAGAGAAGGGGGAGAAGGAGGGGAAGGACAGAAGCCGCAGGAGGAGGAGCGAGAGAGGTGGAGGACAGCTCGTGTGTTCTCCTTCCTGCCCTGCCATGTGCTGCCTTTGAGTCAGTGAGCATGCAGTCAGCTACCTGCTTGAAGAGAGGAGAAAACTAGAAAACACAGGGAGAGTAAAAACAGATTAGCATCCAAAATACTATTCCTGCCAATGCATATTCTAAGCAGGGGAGACCTGATAATAATCCTACAAGTAGGATGGCCCAAAAATAGAGAGGGAGAGATGAAATTTTGCACCCCTTCCCAGGATATATTAAAAATTAGAAAACCTATAGAAGTATTTAGATACAAGTATCATTTTTTAAAAGAAATAAAATACTTAAAGTATATTTACATGAGCTTTACTCCTCTAAAATAATTTCTAAAATCTCTGAAACAGAAATAGTATTTTATGTAAAACTGTCTCCATTTACATATAAAAATAACCATAATGAAAATAACACTGACATTTATAGTGCTTTCTCACTGTAAAATTTTTTTCAGCTTCTCATGTGTATAATTTCACATAACCCTGAAAACAACCCTGGTAGGCAGATATTCCTAATTTATAGTGGAGGAGGCTGAGTCTCATGGAGGTTATGTGACTTGCTCAAATTCACAGAGTTTGTATGGACTAAACCCAGGTTCTCTGATTCCGAACCCTACCCTCTTTCTAGGATCCTATGCTGCCTCCAAGCTGTTTTCACTGAGGTCAAGAAGTACATTACAACTCTTAGATGCAAAAAATAAGTTGAACTTTTGCCATGAGAAAATACCATCATATTTATCAGAAAAGGCAAAAAGGCCTGTGTACCTTCTTTGCTTGCTGGCTTCCTCTCACAGACTTGAGCATTTCGGTGCCTGTTTGTAAGACAAGGCGTTAAAGCAGGTATCAAAAGGTGACTGACTCAGGGCCTCTGCTTTAAGACAACTGCAATAAAGTCAAGAAGACAGACACTGAGACAGCTATCAGTCTCTATGTGCTCACTACTGGTACAAACTAACTGCTGTGGGAGAGCAGGAAAGGGAGCAGTTAGCTCTACTTCTATGGTGTTAGCAGAAGGGTAAGCACTGAGAGAAGCTCCACATTGCACATGACATTGCACCTGGCATTGAAAGAAGAGTAGGATTTTGCCATGAAGAGCAGCGGAGGCATAGGAACAGCTTGAGCAAAGTGAATGTGTT